GAGGGGAGGGGAGGGGAGGAGAGGAAAGGAAGAAGCCACATACAAAAGCACAAACAGCTACTATGATTCTACTTATATGAGGTACCCAAAGTAGTCAAATTCATAGAGGCAGGAAGTAACAATGGTGGTTGCCACGGGCTGAAGGAAGAAGGAATTGGGGAACTGTTGTTTAATGGTATGGAGTTTCAGTTTGGGAAGATGAAAAAGTTCTGGAAAGGGATGGTGGTGATGGTTGCACACCTATGTGAACGTACTTAATAACTTGGACTGCACACCTAAAAATCGTTAAAATGGTAAATTTTGTTATGTATACTTTACCAACAATTTAAAAAACACACTAAGCTACCACTTAACACCTCCTAGGATGGCTGTAAAAAAATTAAAAGAAAGAAAAAAAAAAAACCCAGAAAATAACAAGTGTTGGTTAGGATGTGCAGAAATTGGAACCATTACACGTTGTGGTGGGAATGTAAAACGGTGCAGACCTGTGGAAAAGTTTGGCAGTTTCTCAAAAAGCTAAACATAGAATCACCATATGATCCAGCAATTCCACTCCTAGATGTATACACAAAAGAAATGAAAACATATTCAAACAAATACTTGTACATGAATATTCATATCAGCACTGTTCGAACAGCCAAAAGATGAAAACTACCCAAATGTCCATCAATGGATGAGTGAAAAAAATATATCCATAAAATTATACAGCCCTAAAAAGGAAAGAAGTACTGATATAACCTTGTATGAACTTTGGAAGCATTATGCTAAGTGAAAGAAGCCAGACACAACAGATCACATACTGAATGAACACACTTATATGAAAAACCTAGAACAAGCAAATTCATAGAGATTAGAAACTCCGGAAAGGGGGAGGGGAGCGGAAGAGTCATTGCTTAATGGTTGAAGAGTCTGTCTGGGGTAATGAAAAAGTTTTGGAAACACAGTGGTGATGGCTGCAAAACATTGTGAATGTAATTAACAACACTGAACTGTACACTTAAAAATGGTTAAAATGGCAAATTTTATTTACCACAATAAAAAGAATTCCAAAATAAGGCAAGTAGACCAGAGCATAAGCACCACATTCAAAGCCTAAACATGAAACACCGCATGACTTATTGATCACGTGAGTGATCAGGCTGCTAGAGTCCAGTGTTCAGTTTGGAGCATAATGAATAGTACATACTGTGGAGAGCTATGAATAAAAATGGATGAACTAGATGGAACTGGCCACAGAAAGCTATTTTAGGCTCCCAGTGTAACAGGGAAGAGGCAAATCAGACTAGATGTAGGATCTGTTTTTTACTTTAACCTTTGCTTCCTGTTGCTTTTGTTCACTAAAAGGATACTGTCTACACATAATGGCTTGCCTGGGGGAACCCTGCCTCTCTGCCTGAATGTTAAACCAAAGTGCCTTTGCTCAAGGAAACGTCTGGGATATTTGCAAAATTTATGGCTTTTTTACTTTACTTCCTCATCTCCTCCCCCTCTCTGTGCTATAAAAGAAACTGGCATCCAAACCCGGTAAGATGGTTATTTTGAGACTTTAGTCGGCTATCTTCTTGGTCTGCCGGCTTTCCAAATAAACTCGTATTCCTTTCCTCAACACCTCGTCTCTGATTTATTGGCCTGTCGCCAGGGAGCAGAGAGAGCTTGTATACTGTAACACTTGCAAGCTGAAGAATTAAATGAATGGCGATGCACGGCAAGTAAGTTAGAGAAAGTAATTTAAAGTGAAAAAGATATTAACACAAGAATCCAGTAGTTTCCTTACTTCTGCTGTTGCTATACTACACTACTGCTCATCTGTGACTATATAACTTTTCACATGACTTAAGACTCTAGCAGGCAATTCTTTTGTTCTGGGTTTTTTCTTTCCATTTTTAATCCAGCAAATATCAATTGAATACAGCCTGCGCTGTGACAATGAACAAAATCGTGCCACTGACCTTAATCAACATTTTGGGACCCATAAAACCCAAATACCCCTGAAAAATTTAGACAAACACTAACCGGGCTTTCTGTTTTATTCTTTAAAAAAATGGATTAGGGGCTTCCCTGGTGGCGCAGTGATTAAGAATCTGCCTGTCAATGCAGGGGACACGGGTTCGATCCCTTTCGACCCCTGGTCCGCAAGATCCCACATGCCGCGGAGCAACGAAGGCCTCGCACTACTGAGTCTGTGCTCTAGAGCCGGCGTGCCGCAACTATTGAAGCCCGTGCGCCTAGAGCCCGGGCTCCGCAACGAGAAGCCACTGCAATGAGAAGCCCGTGCACCCCAACACAGAGCAGCCCCCGCTCGCGGTAACTAGAGAAAGCCCACACGCAGCCACGAAGACTCAACGCAGCCAAAAAATAATTAATTAATTTAAAAAAATGGATTAGTGGTGATTGGCTTTTAAAAGGATTTTTGATTTTAGATAACAAACGCGCTGGGTTTTACTCACCAATTTCCTCTGATTCTTGCCCAGAGGCTCTCAGCTTGCATTCCTCTGTATAGTGTTTTTGAATTATCTCCCACAGTTCCGTATTGACAAGAGAATTTGTTCGGGTATGGTACCGAGTCCACGAAGAGACCCGGCGGCGACAGAAGGGACAGCACAAATTTGCCTTTTCGACAGTCGATTGGAAGCATGGTTTACAGAGCGTGTGGTTACAAGGGAGTGTCACAGGCTCAATTAGGATTTCCACACAGATCTGGCACTGGCATTCCAACAAGGAAGGGATGGCGTCTTTGGGTACAGCCATTTTAATATGCTAATAAGGCATATTCAACATCAACACCTGAAAGAGAAAGAATCGTATTTCCAGCCCAAGTAAGGAAAAAGCAAATTAACAGTTTTGTGTTTAAATATTATGCTCAGCAGCCTACCAGAATTCAGAGATTGGGAGTATCAAACGTCTTGAAGTAAAAAGATGTTCTGCTGGCAAGGTAAACAGTACGACCCTGGAAGGCGGTGTATTTGTCCATGTTTAAGACAAACATCCGGAAAGAAAACAAATGAACCTTGGCTGCTCCCAGGCGTTAACAACCGCTGCGGCAAGGAGAACGGTGGGCTCTGGCTCTTTGGCGCCGCAGGAGGCTCGCACCAAGTTCCCCTCCTCCCTCTTACCAGGTGAGGATGCTCTCTTAGTTCCAGGCAGCCAAGCCCGAGGCCGCCTAGGCGTGCAACCACCAGGCCACCGCTCGAGAAAGAACGCTGCTTCCCCCCGGACGCCGGGCTCTGCTGGAGCGGGACTCCAGTCTTACCGCTGCTGTGGGGCCGCAAGCGAGCATTTCCCGGGGCTCTGAGTCCACCCCTCGCCTTTCTTCGGTCAGCCAGAAAGCCTCATCTTAGCTGCAGTGCTGTAGCAAACCGACAAGGGCTAGTGACGTCACAGCTGCCCGCCAAAACGGCCCCTCCCACCTTACAGAACCGACCAAGAGCAGAGACGGCTAACATTTGGCCGGGAGGGACTTCCGGGCCTGCGCGCGCGCCGCCCGCCCCGCCCCCCGGGAGAGGGCCCTCCCCTTGCGTCGCAACCCCTGCGGCTCCACTTTTCCCGCGTGATTCTTGCTTCCGGAGGCTGCGGAAGCCCGGCAGTGTCGCAAGGTTAGTGTCTGGGCAGAAAATGGGAAACCTCAAAACAAACTAAAAACCGAATAGTAGTTTAAAAAATTCTTTCCTCAGTACTCCTCAGAATACACTTCTGTTTTCGTTAATTTGTAACTAAGCCTCTTAGGTCGCTTTCCAAAGTTCTTGGAAAAGCGTCTCCGAGAAAGGCTGTGGTCAGAGAATCCACAAACTTGCTGCAGTTTAACAGGCACTTGGGAAACAAACTTTGGTGCTGCTGCCACGATCCTGGGCTTAACTACTTTATTGTTAAATTTCAGTCTAGAGCAGTCAGAATTACAAAGGAAGTCAAAAGGAAAATATTTCATCTTTTTATGCTTTTGGAATAAGTTTTTCTACTTTGGTATTGAGTTCTTTTACTGACAACTGATCCTACTGAATTGAGTTGTATGAAAAAGTAGATTTTGGCTAAGAAAACGGTGGGGATTATATAAAGACTGTGATCTCTAGTACTTAAGAACCAAGCTTCATAGAGACAAAGTAGAGTTATTATTTAATGGATATAGAGTTTCAGTTTTACAGGTTCTGGAGACGGATGGTGGTGATGGTTGCACAATTTTATGAATGTAAATATTTAATACTGCTGAACTGTACACATAAGAATGGTTAAGGTGGTTCTCACTACTGCACTTGACTAGTCTTAAAAAAATAATAAAAAAATTTTTAAATGGTTAAGGTGGTGAATTTTATGTTATGTGTGTTTTACCTCAATTTTAAAATTTTTGGAAAAAAAACAGGTCTGAGTTTTCTGAGGAAATGCTAAATAGCTGTGGACGAAGAGGAAAGAAAGTCACTGTGCATGTAAATAGTCATTAAGGTCTTTTAGGTTTGCTGAGGTCATTTAGGTGCTGGAGATGAGTGGTTTACAGATGAAGGCAAAACTAGGAGGTGTGGATCCTTTCTAGAGGGCTTTGGAAGTTTCGTTTTTTTTTAACTCGAGTTCAAAAAACTGGTTGTCATCCAGTTGTCCATAGTATCAATCCCTTAATTCCAGGCTCCCTAATGTGATCCCAATCTCCTTTTCCTGTGGAATCTCCTATTATTCTTTTAAACATTCAGTTATGATCTATTCACTGTCATACAAATCTTGTGTTTTGGGGCCATTGCTTGAAATCTCAGTTCATCCTAAATGAGTTGCTTCGTGGCTTTGCCTCCTTCAAGGATCAGTTCAAGGCACTTCCTCTAGGAGATATTTCTCCACCACACAATGATACCCCTCCTCTGAACTCACTCATTTGTATATTGCCTAGTGATTATGGGGTTTTTTGTAATCTTATTTTAACTCTTGCATTTTGATTTCTATTTTCCGGTACCTGTGTCTTGTGTAATGGATACATTTTATGTGCTTCCTCAGATTTCCCTGGCCTCGTTTACTTTGCGGACCCACAGTCCTTTCCTCTGCCTGGGGCTGACCAGTTGCATTTCTGGAATCTCTGGCTTCTCCTGCCACTTCTGGGATTCTGTGAAACACTGCACTGAACAATGCAGTCACTGGCTTCCCAGTGGCTGCTAGGAGGGCTTAGATGATGCATCCTGGAAGTATGAGGGGGTCACTCCCCACAGAGCCAATTTTGACCAATTGAAAACAGTAGACTTTGTGAGCACAACAGAGAAATTTTCCTTCCTTCTTCCTATTGAAACCAAGCCCCTCTAAAATCGAGTTTCCCTGCCAAGTTTATGATTAACCTCTCTGTAGAAAACTTTATTCCCTTTTTTGTTCCAGTAGGATTGAGGAGTATCAAAGAAAAGGGGGGATTGAAACCAAGCAGGACCCTGCAGGGCCCTTCTGGCTACAAAGGCCCCTCCATGTTTCCTGTTTCTTGTAGGAAACAAAGGCTTTTGTTTCCTAGCCCTTCCCTGAGTTCCAAAGAGCAGACTCAAGCCGTTACAAATTAGGGAAGGGAGGAAATGCAGAAACAAAGGAAAAGCAGCCGAGTAGAAAAATTAATAATAGGTTAAACAATACTTCAGTGATAAAACACTCCTAGTTCCTTCTCAAGGGATGTACAAAACGATCTGATGTATATCTTTTGAGTTGTTCTGAAGAAATTAAGGCTCACCCCACCCAGGTGGAGGATGGTGACTACATGCTGATCATAAACACTAGACCCTAAACTTGTACAAATCGGTTGATGATTAAGATTCCGGAAACATCACCCTGTTACCTCACAACCAACCAATCAAAAGAAAATCTGTGAGCTGCAACCCTCACATCAAAAGGTGCCTTTAAAACCCTTCTCTGGAAGCCACAGAGGAGTTCCTGTCGTCTTTCCAGCACTAGCTGCCCGTTCTCTTTGCTTGGTGCCCTGCAATAAACGCTGCACTTTCCTTCAACACACCCCCATGTCAGTAGGTTGGCTTTGATGCATGGCGGGCAAACAGACCAAGTTTGGTTCAGTAACACTTCCAACACATGGTTTCTCTCTCTCTCTCTTTTTTTATTTGGCATGGTGTCTCTAAACAATGTGTCTGGAGAAGGACAAGACTGAGTGCATGGATCTAGCAAGCAACTTATTGTCAAGGAGGAGCCAGCAAGGTAACACATCATCTTGTATTACTTCTCATCCTTCTCTGCATAACAGCCTTCCAAAGTGTTACTCATTCTGGTTGTCCTGAATTTGTACCTCCCAAATAAAGCGTCAGTGTTTAACTTTTACCTGTAGGGCAGGATCCACATTTTAAAATGTTTCTGTTATTCACACTACCTAGTGCATGGCATTTATTCAAAAAATATTATAGGGCTTCCCTGGTGGCGCAGTGGTTGAGAGTTCACCTGCCGATGCAGGGGACACGGGTTCGTGCCCCGGTCTGGGAAGATCCCACATGCTGTGGAGCGGCTGGGCCCATGAGCCATGGCCGCTGAGCCTGTGCGTCTGGAGCCTGTGCTCCGCAACGGGAGAGGCCACAGCAGTGAGAGGCCCGCATATCGCAAAAAAAAAAAAAAAAAAAAATTATAAATAGGACTTGCCTGGTGGTCCAGTGGCTAAGACTCCACGCTCCCAGTGCAGGGGGCATGAGTTTGATCCCTGGTCAGGGAACTAGATCCCACATGCCGCAACTAAGAGTTCGCATGCCGCAACTAAAGATCCCACACGTGGCAACGAAGGTCCCACATGCCACAACTGAGACTTGGCACAGCCAAATAAATAAATTTTTTTAAAATTATAAATATATGGTCAGTGTGTGAGAATTCCCTTTCTAGTACAAGTAACTATGGAACTGTACTAGAGAGAAAATGCACATCAACATACAAAATATATTAGATGTTTTATTTATTTATTGCTTTTAGTACATACATTCACATGGTTCAAAATTCAAAAAGTACAAATAGATTAACATTGAAATGACTTCCTCCTACATTTGATCCCTAGCTTCTCAGTTTTCTTCCCTAAGAAAACCAATGTTACCACTTTTTAATGTATTTCTCCAGAAGAAGTTTATGAAGTTTATAGATATAGTAGCCTATATGTTTGTTTTTGCCCGTTTTTTCCATTTAGCAATATATATTGGAAATGAATATTTTATTTTATTTTTTTTATTTTTTATTTTTTTGTGGTACGCGGGCCTCTCACTGTTGTGGTCTCTCCCATTGCGGAGCACAGGCTCCGGACGTGCAGGCTCAGCGGCCATGGCTCACGGGCCCAGCCGCTCCACGGCATGTGGGATCTTCCTGGACCGGGGCACGAACCCGTGTCCCCTGCATCGGCAGGCAGACTCTCAACCACTGCGCCACCAGGGAAGCCCTGGAAATGAATATTTTAAAACAACACATCTTGGTGATAACTGCATATTACTATACGATTACATGAAGAGCTTCTTCATTCTCTTGTATTGCTACACAGAAAGTATCCACTGTATCAGTATATCATAATCTAACACTCTCCTCACTTTTGCTATAAAAATAACCCTGTAATAAGTTGCATGTATGTATTTTTTCCCATTTGCAAGATAAATTACTAGAAGCGTAATCTCTGGGTCTAGGGTAACAGGTTAGCTTTTGGCTGATGGTATCAACTCTTCTAGGGATGACTTTTGCTCTTCAGGGGCCCTTACTGCTTTTCCCTTCTCAATGACCTGAACAGCCTTTAGCAAACCATCCTGCAGAGCCTGGTTCTTTACCATATTAGTGATCATGAAATTGACATCTTTTATATACATTTGCCTTACTTTAGCAATGTAGTGTTCTGCCTTGTTACCATGTGCTACAAAGAAGGTGCACAGTGCTGTGATATCTTCTTCTTGCATCCCATGCTCCTCCAGAACAGACTCCCATACAACTCTAATGCGCTTGTTCTTGACTTTTCGTCTAAGGATGGAGGCTAAGGTGGGAAGACCTCTCACCAGATCTGGCAGCTTCTCAAGCACACGAGTGTGCAAGCGGATGAGTACTTCAATGACGTAGCTGTATAAAATATTCAATTCCATTGGAGTGAACCTACAAAAAATGTGGAGAGCTTCTTAAGCATTAGAACTCTTTACATACAAACATAAAATGAATATTCTTAGGATAATTCAAAGAAGTATAAACCTACTAGGAGAACTGTAAGCAGATACGGTAGGAGGTCCCCAGAGAAAGAGAACCAGGCATGGCTCTCTTGACATAACAGAAGCCATTTTTTGTTTGTTTGTTTGTTTTGTGATATGTGGGCCTCTCACTGTTGTGGCCTCTCCCGCTGCAGAGCACAGGGTCCCGACGCGCAGGCCCAGTGGCCATGGCTCACAGGCCCAGCCGCTCCGCGGCATGTGGGATCCTCCTGGACTGGGGCACGAACCCATGCCCCTGCATCGGCAGGCGGACTCTCAACCACTGCTCCACCAGGGAAGCCCAAGAGAAGCCATTTTTGACCTAAGCCATTTTGTGATCTAAGCCTGGCCACAGTGCTTGACCTTGAACAGGTCTCAGTAATTCATGATCTTAATGGTAAGTGAGGGAATGCAGGGACAAAGGAAAAGCTGTCAAGAAAAAGTAGTTTAGTGATAAGAGTCCTAGTTCCTCCTCAAGGGATATATGTAACAATCTGATACATATCTTTTGAGTTCTGCAGGAACTGAGGTCCCCACCCAGTGGAAGATGGAATAATGATGTTGACCTTTTCTGACCCTTATGACTTCAGTCAACTAAAGCTTGGACTCTGTCAACCTTTGCCCCAATTCGCTGCTGAGTTCTCCTCTATTCAAGCCCCTTCATGATTATGCATGTACCCTTAGCTTAAAACTTCCCCAGTTCTGTTGTTTGGGAAGACGCTGCTTTGGGGAAGATCCCTGGTGTTTTCCTTACTTGCTGCAAGTAATACATCCTTTCTTGTCCCGGTCTTTGGCTTGGTTGTCTTTTGGTTCAATGCCCACCAAGAGTTGAACCCAGTTTTCAGGTAAGAACCAGCTGTTGCAGTTTAGAAAATGCTTACTTTAGAAATAGGGCCTGCCAGTGTTCATAGTAGTTATTTACAATAGCCAAGACATCGAAGCGACCTAAGCGTCCATCGACCAATGAATGGATAGAGAAGATGTGATACATATATACAGAGAAATGTTACTCAGACATAAAAAAGAACAAAATAATGACACTTGCAGCAACATGGATGGCCCTAGAGATTATCATAATTAAGTCAGACAAAGACAAATGCCACATGATATCACTTATATGTGGAATCTAAAAAAATTATACAAATGAACTTATTTACAAAACAGATTCACAGACATAGAAAACAATTTTACAGTTACCAGAGGGGAAGGGGAGAGAGAGAAATTAGGAGTTTGGGATTAACAGATACACACTATTAAAAGAATTAAAAAAAAAAAAAGAAATAGGGCTTGCTCTAAACTGGATAGCTTAGATCTCAGGCCACTCATACTGTAAGTTTCTCCATGGCAGAGGAGTTATATTATCCATCTCTATGTTAGTAAGACTTTGGCAAGCAAGGGACTCTGAGATGTGTACCACAGTTCTGGCAAATAAACAGGTGCTCAAATTAATCTCTTTTGAATGAATGAGCTTAAGAAAATGTAACTTCTTCACAATCCATTGTTGGAACCATATTAAGAAACCCAATTTTAGGGACTTCCCTGGTGGCACAGTGGTTAAGAGTCTGCCTGCCAATGCAGGGGGCACGAGTTCGAGCCCTGGTCCAGGAAGATCCTACATGCTGCGGAGCAACCAAGCCTGTGCGCCACAACTACTGAGCCTGCGCTTTATAGCCTGTGAGCCACAGCTACGGAGCCCATGTGCTGCCACTACTGAAGCCTGCGTGCCTAGAGCCCATGCTCCACAACCAGAGAAGCCCCTGCTTGCTGCAGCTAGAGAAAGCCCATATGCAGCAATGAAGACCCAGCACAGCCAAAAATAAATAAATAAATTTATTTAAAAAGAAAAGAAACCCAATTTTAGAATGACCACAGCAAGCTCTCACAAAACCACAAAATTCCACTGATTTCTGATTGGATACTCACTTGAATGACAGAACTGCTGTCCACAGCTCATCTTGGGCAGCTTGGTTTGCCAGAGTCTTGCTATGATGTTCAAATTTCTGTGTCAGATTATCCTTGGTGAAGTCCAGTTCTTTAAACTGTGCTTCTAATGCTTGGAGTTTGTGGCCTACTCTATAGGATAAAAGAATCAAGGGTTAATTTAGGTCAGGGCACAAAACTAAGGTTCTGTCTTAATATAAGGCTATAATACATTGTTTATAACCACTATCAAATTTGAGTAGCTATTTACATTTTAAGATTATGAACAGTTGTTCCCATTTGCTGTTCTCTCTAGTCATCATCCTAGTTCTGGCATTCCTTATATTGCCAAACATGTGAATTGTCTAATTACCTCAATTACATGCCATGTCTTGTCTTCGTACCATACTTTATACGTTAAAAAATATTTTATACAAGCTTTAATTTGATTCTCACAACAACCATTAGAAGTAAAGCAGTCATTTTTACTATTTACGGATAAAGAAATTGAGTCTCAAAGAGTTACTTTTTAATGATCTAAGTTGTAAGCTCTTGGAGGGAGAGGATCAGAGACTATTTCTTGGACATCTTTATGCCTGTCCCCCAATACCTATAAGAGGCCTTACACAGAAGTAATACAACGTGTCTCCTATGATTGACATTTTTGATGTTAGTGAAATGCTAAGCAGTGTAACAGCAAAAGGGGGATCTGAGTAGCTCTGAACAGCCCTGATCGTTAGAGGGCGCTGTGGCACCAAAATTATGTCTAACTGAACCACAAAGAATTGAACCACACAACTCACTTACCTGAAGCCACCCACATTGTCTTTTTTTTTTTTTTACTGTATTAAAATACTGAGTTTATTTCACATGTATATTTTTGTCTCCCCACCATTTCCATTTGTCTGACCACCACTACTACTATGTCCTATCATAACATTCCATACATACTTAAAACCAAGCAAAGGGTGGAGTTCCATCTTTAAAAACTAAACAGGCATTTTGGATAACACATTCTTGGCAATGGAACCTGGACAACATTTATCAGATACGGTAGGGAAAGTTCTCACTCTGCATTATAAAAAGGACAGCCAGATATCAACTGTTACAGAAATGAAATAAGACGGAAAATTTTAACAAACTGTTTAAACTATTTTCTTAAAGAGACTTCCTCCACTGCCAGAGATCTTGAATAGCCTCCTGGTCAGTCATCCGGAAACAATTCTTCACATAATTGATGAATTTGGCTTCCACTTTGGGAAGGGAACCACCTTTTTCTATACTTGCTTGCATTTTTGCTTTAATGTCTTCTACAGAGCTAGGTCCTTTCGGTGTTTTAGGAGTTTTTTCCTGTTTTTTGAAGGATTCTTGACCTTTTGATCTTGGTGTTGATGGTTTTGAGTCTTTTCCATTCTGGTTTGATTTTTGTGCATTTTTGGCTGGAGTATCTCGTACAGATTTCTTTACTGGAGCTTTTTCTTCAGCTTCCTCATCATCAAAGTCATCATCATCATCATCTTCATCATCATCGTCGTCGTCATCATCATCATCTTCATCTTCATCAGCAGCAAGTTTTACTTTTTTCTGTGGAACCTTGCTACCACTTCCAGGGGCAGAACGCTTTCCAGATATACTTAGGAGCTTCACATCCTCCTCCTCTTCATCTTCTGACTCTGCATCTTCCTCCACAGCTACTAAGTGCTGTCCGCTAATATGCACAGGCCCTGAACCACACTTCAACCGTAAGACCACAGGTGGTGTTATTTCAAAGCCCCCAAGGGAAACCGTTGGCTGCACAGACATTTTCAAAGTTGCCAGTGTTACTTTAATTGGACTGCCTTCATAATTCATTGCCTCTGCTTCGACAATGTGCAATTCATCCTTTGCACCAGCCCCTAAACTGACCGTTCTTAAAGATAACTGGTGCTCATTTTCATCATTATCCACCTTAAAGTGATAATCTTTGTCGGCCTTTAGTTCACAACCGAAAAGATAGTTCTGGGGCCTCAGGGGGCTCATGTCCATGTCCATCGAATCTTCCATGGGTTGGTGGCACGCACTTCGGTGGGAGAGAAAGTGGACGGAGATAAAAGACTACCGCTCGAAGGAACAGTCACGCAGGACGGAATCAGACCAGGGCCCACATTGTCTTTCACGAAGGAAATGATACGCACACAGCCAGTTCCCCGAGTTTCTATGTCCCCAGTCACCCGAATACTGTTGTGGTTGCCTAGGATTCTATCCTTGACCATTTTCTCTTCTTGGTCTTTATTTTCTCCCAAGGCTAATTTAGCTTCAGGTACGACCCCTCTCCTAAGCTCTAGACCTGTATATTCAACTATGTTTTGCACATCTCCACCTGGATGGTGATGTCAAATTCAACTGTCTTAAGCTGAATCTACTAAGTCCCTCCTCCCTCCTCTCGCACCCCATCTTCAGAAATTTCGGCAATGGAATTTTCTCATTGCTTTGGATTCTATTTACATATAGATAAGGCTCTGTACGAAATGTGCATTTTTGTAGTATAGGCCTGCATGACCTAATATGCCAGTAATCTCTGTCTGCAAGTCAAAACTATGATATCTGGCAAAGTCTCTGTATTAACTTTTAGACCTTTAAGAAGATATTGCTTTTAGGTCATCTCCAGCTTGAACCCTAGAGGTAAACTCTAGCTTGTCATTCAGTATAAAGGTTTACAATTGGAGCATTTCTTTGGAATCTTTTCACCAAAAGGCATTCCCGATCATTCCACATAAATCCTAAACAACATGTCTGCAAATCTGCGTTTCTACTACAATTCTCCAGCTCAGTTAATGGCATCACCATCTACCCAATTCCTCGAACTAGAAATCTCAGAATAACTCACCATTTTTTCCCTTTCTCTCCATCAGCGTGTCTCTAATCTATCCCGTCCTCTCTATCTCCAGTAAGCCAGTTAATCGCCATCTTTCACTTGGACCTAGGATTACAGTAGTCTAACTTGATTCCTCCTTTTCACGTCCAATCCATTCTCCAGAGATATTCTTCTAAAACACAATTCTGATTTTATAATTTGACTATTATATACGTTTTATGCTGCCGACTTGCCCAGTGATATTGCTGGAGCCAAGTTGGATTTCCTCAGCAGGAAACAGGCTCTTTGCCCTTCGCCCCCATCTTCTACCAGTTCTCTCACACATCCTAGTCACCAGTCATATGAGACATCTAGCTGCTGACAGAATACCGTATGCGATTCCAAGCTTCTATGCTTCCACGTACTGTTTCCTCAGCCTAGAATTCCTTACCGTATTTTTATTTCTTGTAAACTCCTACTCACACTTTCAGATCCAGCCTAAATGTCCCTCTATGAAGGGTTCCCTTTCCTAGTGTCAAAGGCAAAATTCATTCCTGTCTTCATATTCTCATAGCCCTTTAGGAACATCACCATTATAATGTCAGTCACATTAAATTGTAAGCATTTTTGAATACTTCTGTTATTCCTAAGGCTGTGAGCTCCTTGAGGGCAGAAACCACATGTTACTTATTTTTGCAAACCTGTTATATAGCACATGCATTAATTGAATGGAATTATAGCATCTGGAAGTAGATTTTTCTTTATTATTAATTGACATTTTTTGAACCTGAACACGTTAACAGAGAAAGAATTCTAATTAGCATGTCCATAGTTCTTTGCTTATTTTTATTCTTCATTCTTCTCTTACTCATCTTCCCAGAAAAGCAGACCCATGCTTGCTCCCTCCCTGTAGCCATTAGCAACCTTTTCATTGCCTCCTTTAAGGATATCAGGGTTGTGGTTTCATTGTTCATCTTCTTAAGGCAAAATGAAAAAGAAAACAAGCAAAACAAAAACCCAATAGAGGTTTGAATCCAGGGTTTTCTGCTCTCTTCCACTCAGCAACAGGCAGCAGCAGTGTGAGTATTCGATCTAAATTCTGCCTGAAAGGTCACTCAGTACAAGAAGCTTTTAATAGCTTGTACATCCAAATATAGTTTCAAAGGGCTGATCCTATGAACACAGGTGTCCTGGGATACACTATAATATTTGCCTTTGAAAAGTGACCATAGGTCATCAACCTAGTACAACAGCCAGATGTAATTGTGGCTCTGTGTATATTCTGGTAAATGGATATACGGGTACACAATGTATACATATACTAGGATTAAATTTAATGGAAATATTACTCTCTAATTTTAAGAGCTTAATTTTTCACTTATAATCTCAATTAGGTTTAAAGAAGCCCCAGACTTTTTATGATGTATTACATCAATGCAAAAAAATCCGACCATCCTTAGAAACTTATATTTATTGTAGTATTAGATTAGGTATTGGAAATAAAAACAGACATAAAACAGGATTCCTGAATTCAAGGGGTTTAAATACTAACTGGGGAGATACTTAAAAGATAATATATACTTAAAAGAAAATATATATAAAATGTGTGCTGAGTAGATACAGACTGTAAAAATCATAGATGATGAGAGAGTAGGTCACTGAAGCCTTGGATAACTGAGAAGCACTCACATTGAAGGTGGGATTTGGTCTTGGCCTTAAAGGAAATGTAGGTCTCTGATTATCAGAGAAGAGAGAGAAGAACATTACAAACTGGAGAAACTGTGTGGGTAAATTCACAGGGGTGGTTGGCAAGTACATGATGTGGTCAGGGAACAATGAGTGAGTATTTTGTTGACGTTCTCTCAACAAAAGATTCATGTGAGAAAAAGAAAAACGACACAAGCTGGTAAAAGTCAGGTCATGGATTTATTCATTCATTGAATAATTTATTTACTTATTCAATATTTGCTGAACACCATAAATATAAATTGAATGGGCAAAACCTATGAATGAATGATCAGCACTATCCCAGGTATTAGGAATAAAATGAGTAAGGCAAAATCCTTGCCCTAAGAAGCATACTAGTAGGGAGACTGAAAACGAGGATTGCAAAAGGGTTCTAGCCAGCCTGGTAAGCAGTTTGGACGTATGTGAGGTGTTGGTTCTGTAAGTTATTCTAGCACTGGTGTTTAAGATGGATCCAAATGGGAATGAAACCAGAGGCAGAGATGTCCCTCAGGAGACTGGTATCACAGTCAGATGTGAAGTGATGAGATTACAATGTCTGTCCTTGGAGTGAAAAGGGAAAGGGACAGACCTGAGAGACAGTATGAGTCCCCAAGGCCTCCTGGGGGTTGGAGTCAGTAAGTCTCACATGAATTTTCAGAAAAGTTTGGGTGTCCTAAGGGAATCAAGTCCTTCCTTGCCTCAGTGGGAAAACCTTGCTAGAGTCTTTGTATCCTACCCAGTGGCCATCCTCCCCAATACCTCCCCACCCCTGCTATTTTTTCCTCATTAACAGAATCTAAATCCAAATATTGTTCGAGCATTGGGCAGCTGTGTACTTCAGGGGACTCTGGGTCTACCCACCCCCTTAGTCACAGGGTGGTGAATCTTGATTAGACCAAACCAATCACAGTAATTTTATTATTGTTGCCATTATCATTGGTTTAGGAATGGGCAGGTGGCAGAATTCTGCCCTATGAAATGTGAGAGGAGATTTACTGTGGGGCTTCTGAGAAAACATTTTTTTAAACTTGTGGTAAAATATACATAACATAAAATTTACCATTTTTGGTTGGGGGGGGTGGGTGAAATGGGTGAAGGTAGTCAAAAAGTACAGACTTCTAGTTATAATAAATAAGTCCTGGGTATGTAATGTACAGCATGGTGACTATATTTAATAACACTGTATTGTATATTTGAAAGTTGCTAAGAGACTTGATTTTAAAAGTTTTCATCACAGGAAAAAAAATTGTAACTGTGTGTGG